TTTTGGGGTGATTTTGGGGTGTTTTGGGGGGAATTGGGGGATTTTGGGGGGAATTTGGGAATTTTGGGGTGAATTTGGGGTGGTTTGGGGGATTTTGGTTTTTTTTGGGGGGGAATTTGGGGTGTTTTGGGAGGTTTTGGGGATTCTGGGGGGATTTTGGCATGAATTTGGGTGATTTTGGGTTTTTTGGGAGGGAATTTCCAGGTGATTTTTGGGTGAATTCAGCTGATTTTGGGTGAATTTGGGCGATTTTGGTTTTTTGGGGGGATTTCGGGGTGATTTGGGGCGATTCTGTGGTTTTGGGCTGGTTTGGGGTTATTTTGGGATGTTTTGGGCCATTTTCAGGTGATTTCGGGGTGGTTTGGGATGTTTCGGGGCCGTTTTGGCTGGGTTTGGGTGATTTTGGGCCTTTTTTGGGCAATTTTTGGGCAGCTTTTGGCCATTTTGGGCAGTTTGGGGCAGTTTTTGTCCATTTTTGGGCAGTTTGGGGCAGTTTTTGGCTGGTTTTGGGCCGTTTTTGTCCATTTTCGGGCCGTTTTTGGCTGTTTTCGGGCCAATTTTGTCAATTTTTGGGCTGTTTTTGGCAGTTTTGGCCATTTTGGGCAGTTAGGGGCAGTTTTTGTCCATTTTCGGGCAGTTTTTGGGCCGTTTTTAGCTATTTTGGCCATTTTCGGGCAGGTTTGGGGCCGTTTTTGGGCTGGTTTTGGCCGTTTTGGCCATTTCCGGGCAGTTTTCGGGCCGTTTTTGGGCCGTTTTGGGCCGTTTTTGGGCTGGTTTTGGCCGTTTTTGGCCGTTTTGGCCATTCTCGGGCCGTTTTTGGGCCATTTTGGGCTGTTTTTGGGCCGTTTTGGCCGGTTTTGGGCCGTTTTGGGGCTCTCACGTGCAGCTGCCGTCGCTGCAGCTCCTCCAGCAGCGGCAGCGTCTCCTCGTCCGCCAGGTCACAGGGACGCTGCCCCTGGGGACAGCGTGGGGATGGGCCCCAAACCCCCAAACCTCCCCGAAATCACCCCAAAA